GAGTACCAAAGATAGGCAAATAAGGCGAGCCACTAAGGCTGATAGTCAACAACAGGTATGAAGCAACACACAAATTGGCAAAATTTATACGTTTGAAACTCAAGAACTTAAATGAGAAGCTATCAAACACGGTGAAAGATTCATATGCATTTTTTTTTAAATAAAAAACATGGCACTGGAAGAAACGGACTTATTGGTAAGTTTCCATGTAGAATCCATGTATACAAACATCTCTGGAGAAAATGCCCTAACGGCCCTACAGCAAATGTTTGACCAAGAGGATGATATCCTGGATTCACAACGGATCGGTAGGGAGTCGTTAACAAGACTAATCAACCTAACAATAAGGACAACCTATTTTACATTCAACGGGAACATCTATGAACAAATATTTGGACTTCCCATGTGATCACCGCTCTCAACCCCACTTTTGGCTAATGTATGCATGAACAAAATAGAAAAGAGCTTCAAGCTGGCACCGCTACAACCGGCAGTAATCATGCGGTACTTGAATGATTACTTCGCCCTTTGGTCACATGGAAGAGAAAAACTGGAAGAGTTTCTAAAGTTTGCAAATCAAATTGATGAAAAAACTCAATTTACGAAGGAAGTAGAGGAAGGTGAGTAGTTACCATTCCTGAACGTTGAAGTGATTCGTTCTAATAGGACTTTCAAAAAGCAATTGTTCAGAAATAAAGCCTATACTGGGATAATACTCAATTTTGGTCCCATCACAATTACAGGCTGAAGATTGGACTAATGAGGAGCATGTTCATCCGAAGCCTACGCTTAATGGATGTAGAATTCTGGGACGAGAAGCTGGACAAATTGACGGGGATATTCCTCGGCAATGGCTACCCTAGCGACGTAATACAAAGAAACATACGGGCAGTGAAAAGCTGGTGCGGCGCCTGCAATCAGAAATATATTGGTGAAACAGGGAGAAAAATTAGCAACTGAATCAAGGAACATCAGAGGCTCTGCAGGAAAATGGATACCGAGAGATCAGAACTAGCGGGACACATCGCACAGACTGAACACCAGATCATTTGGAAGGCAACCGAAAGAAGAGCTCCAGACGGGGACAACACAAGGAAGCGCAAGATTCGGGAGGCCGTTGACATCCTTGGTGAGGACAATTTAATGAACAGGAGATTGGAGGAAGGTAGAGTTAGCGATAACTTTGCCTACTGCCTAAGGGAACTCAGGGAAAACAGGAATGGAGCAAGACCAGTGAAAAAGGGACGCCTGGATCAAGGATCTACCGCTAACAGGAGGAAAAGGGATTTTGATGATGATAGGAATTTAGTAATGAATTACTATTAATAGTAGTACTACTACTAAATAAATTGGGGTCAGGTATGTGAAAATAAACGAGACTGTAGCACATTTGATGCACATTTACATGAGATGTATTTAACCCATTTCGTTGCATCCTAAAGGTTAACGTATAATCGCAAAACGTTAATCACTACGCCGCATCGCTACGAATGCCCTTCGATCATAGAGGATACTAATTAAAAGGAAGGCTAGGCATTCGACCATATCGCATTTTATTATGGGGCAAAGTTGTATATGCTATAGCAATCGACTTGATTACTTATATATGATCTACTGCTAAAATCTGTAGGCATAGATAGATATAGAATTGTTTGGCTAATTATCTTTCATATTAATCAGGCTATTTTATTGAATATATGAGGACCAAGATGTTGTGGCCTCTGGTGTGGTCGCAGTCTCCTTTCGATTGATAGAAGT